TGGATGACTGGATATGTAAAGTGCTTTGGGGTCCTTAGGGACTAGTAAAGCGCTATATAAATACAGGCCATTTACCATTTACAATGTTGCTTAAAAACACTATTTCAATCCATATTTAGTCTTTGATCATTCATCAGCAACCAAACTCACAATATCATTTTCCTTAGTGGAAGCTGGGAAAGTGTGTTGTTGAAAAGAAAACTATGCTGCTGTTGGATAAAATTAAATATATATGCAAATTATAGGTTGGCATCATGTGATCATGCTTGCTGTGTGTTTTCTGCACTGAATAAATAATTTTCTTCACCCTCCCACTTTTCCCCTTTCTCAATTCTAGAAAAAAGAGGAACCGAAAATGTCAGGGGTAAGAATGAGAACAGCTCATAAAACAAGATTAACAAAACAATAATAATAACACACGTGTTGTCTCCTCCATCCTTCAGGAGATGAGGGAAAGTTTAAACAAAATGGTTAAAGGCATTCTTGAGGGCGGGGAAGGCGAGTTTGAAGTTATTGTGAGTTTTAATAATTAGTCAAACTTTTCTTAAAATTTTGATTTTATTTATTTTTGTTAATTTTATTTAAAAGATGTTTCCAAGCTCCACAGGGCCGCTATTTACAATGTGAATGCAAACCTCTCTGTGACATTTCATTTTAGGTTGTTCCTTTGGACTCTGGGAAGGAAGACAATGACCCCATCAGTAAAGCGTTTTTCTATCGCAAGGATAACCCTAACAAAGCAATCCCAATCGCCGAACCAGAAGTGAGAATTACAGCCTTGATTTCCATGTGTCACACATGACACATGTGTCCATGTGTCATGTGTTCTTTTTTTAATGCAGCTCCATAAGACAACATTGGCTGTGTAATATGTCATTTTTATGCTGCTGTCCCTGATGGCAGGTGTCCAGGTTTCTCCCACAGTGGTGTTTTGAGGAGATACTTAGGGTTTACTGGAAGGAAAAGAGAGAGAAGTTTACAGAACAGTTTACATTTTGGCAAAAAGTCAAAAGGCACATAAAAGGCTGTGTTTATCAAAGAAGTAAGTGCGCATGCGCCATTAGCGTGCTGCCTGCTGTAACCCTAATTTCCTTCGGGATTAATAAAGTATTCTGATTCTGATTCTGAAGCCATGTACATGTAGACATAACCTAAATTGTCATCAGAGGCTGACACAGCGGTTCTTATTCTCAGACATGTCCAGGCTTGTCTCATGCAGTAGTAGTCTTTCATGATTCATCAACAAAACTTAGAATATAATTCTCTTTACTTGAAGCTGGACGAGTGTGTTGTTGAAAGGAAAACTAGTAAGTTAATCATAGCCAAGCTGCTGCAAGGGGAAAAAACCAATACAAAATCAGCCTTATTATAGATTCATGACAGGACAAGTGGTGTGTGCTGTTCTGACACTACCTTATCACACAGTACACTCTTCACATCCAGTACACATTCATCATCACATTCTTCATGTAATCCCAGACAAACTCGATGATGTTGAGATCAGGGCTCTGTGTGAGCCATACCATCACTTCCAATACTTCTTGTCCTTCTTTATTCTGAAGATAATGTTAATGACTTTGGCTGTATGTTTGGGGTTGTTGTCCTGCTGCAGAAATAATTTGGGGCCGATAAACAATCATTTATATTTCTCAAAGGATTCTTTGTTTACACCATTTTTTTTACACCTGCCTAAAATGTTTGTACAGTACTATATATCGTAAATAACGTTTTGGAACAGTTTGAATTTGGTGGGTAACAAAAATCCTGTTTGAAACAGAGAAATTAAGAAAAACAGATTTTCTTTAAACATTTGGTTTCGAGTTATTGTGTTTTCTGCACTGACTAAATCCTTTTCTTCACTGTCCTGCTTTGCCCCTTTCCCAGGTCAAGAAAAAACATAAACAGGAAAAATTGGTAAGAATGAGAACAGCTCATAAAACAAGATTAACAAAACAATAATATTAACACACATGTTGTCTCCTCCATCCTTCAGGAGATGAGGGAAAGTTTAAAAAAACTGGTTAAAGACATTCCTGAGGGTGGGGAAGACGAGTTTGTGATTATTGTGAGTTTTAATAATTCATCAAACTTTTCTTAAAATATTTTTGTTTTGTTTGTTGTTCATTATATTTTAAAAAATGTTTTCAACTCCACTGGGCCATTATTTACAATGTGAATATAAACACAGGCCTCTCTGTAACATTTCATTTTAGGTTGTTCCTTTGGACTCTGAGAAGGAAGACAATGACCCCGTCAGTCAAGCACTTTTCTATCGCAAGGATAACCCTAACAAAAAAATCCCAATCACCAAATCAGAAGTGAGAACTACAGTTTTGATTTCCATGTGCCGCGTGTTCTTTTTTTAATGCAGCTCCATAAGGCAACATTGGCTCTGTCAGTGGCGTCGTTAGGCCTATTTTAGGGGTGCTTAAGCCTCCCTAAAATATTCTTAAGCCCCCCTAAATAATTTGGTGTTTA